GCCCGGTGCAGACACACCACGTTGGCAATCTCCTGTTGGCACTGCTTGCTGCTGGCCCGGGCCAGCGCTGAGAGGGCGTCTTTGCCCGTGATTTCGCACTTGGGGGTGAAACTGTTCTCGGTGGGCTGGGGAGCCCCCTCCACGCTGCCTGTGTCGCCCTGCTGGAAGACAGCCAGCTGGGCCTCCCCACGCAGCTCTGTTAGGTTCCTCCAGCTGGAAGAGTCCGGTGCAGCTGGCAGCCTCCGTCCCAGTTTGTGTCTCGCCGTGACGGCTCTCACCACCTTGGACACCTGCACTGCAGGGCTGTCTGGCCGTCCCCGCCATCGCCCGTGCTTCCGGCTGGCACTGCCCCGGCGCCCGGCAGAGCTGTCTGAGTCCTTGGAGCCGTCGCTGCTCTCGGGCAACTTGGCTTTTTTCTGCCGCTCCTGTTTCGGTTCCAGGCGGATGCAGAAGAGAGGACAGACAGCATTAACTCAGATCTGCTTTCCTTCAACCCCACCAAAATGCTGCCCAGAGCATCCCTGTCCCCAGTGCTCAATGCTCCCAGTCCACACTGCAACATGCCAGGTGCTCCAGGAGCAGCCACCACACACCAAAGGAGTCTGTCACACCACCCCTCTGCCACCTAAAACACCAGGCTAAGACCCCGCAGCACCTCCCTGCACAGTCCTACGCCCCCTCATGGGGACACCCCTGTATACACCAGCAAGGGAGACCCCGACTCGTAGACCCTGTGGTAACAGCATCCCAGATGCAGAAAGAGGGTCTTGCTCCCTGCTGCCAGGCTCACTGCAAGACTAAACAGCTGAGGTCAGTTGTGTCTGCACCAGCCACCCTCTGGGGTCCGGTGTGGGCAGGGGCAGCCCTGGACGGTGGCGACAAGCACAGGGCTGCTCTGGCTGGCAGTAGTTATTGTACAGGGAGGCACATGGACCAGCTTTTCCCTGCCAAGATCACGCTGAGAGACCAAGCCCAGCACATCTGTCTGGGAGCCAGGGTCCCAGGCGGCCGCAGCTGTGCTCTCTGGGCCTAAAAGCACCAGAGAGGCATTGAAAAAAGTCCTGCCCATGCTCTTCCCCTGGGCCCCGGCTCTCCGAACTGAGCTGGAGCACTGCAATCGCCAGCTTCTCTAGAAACCCCTTTAACAAACCCTCCCGCCGAGCCAAGCGGACGTGTAAAGGGAGCAGTTAATTATGCTTTGTTACCTCTGCCAGGCTGGCTGATGAGCAGAAACGAGTCGGCCTTGGGGAGAGCAGAGAGTTGGGAAGTTTGGATTCCCGCGAGAGCCACACTCATGGGAAAGCACTTTCCCAGTGAGTCGTGCCCGTATGCCCCCAGCCCACCGCAGGCGCACCCGGCCGACAGGCAGGCAGGCAGGGAAACAGCTGACTACTCCAGCCAGGCCTCCCAGGGCTATCTCACAACACCCTCAAATCCCTGCCTGCCCAGCTACTGCACCAGGCACTGCAGGAGGTAGCAAGGTATATTGCACCTTATTCCTGGGCAGCAGCATCTTCCGAGGATGGGCAGATGCCTCACAAGGATGGTGGGACTGAATTTGATGCCTGCGGGCGCAGCTGCTGGGAAGGTCCAAGCCAGGTGAAACCACACTGTGCAAAGGCTTGGAAGCATCTGGCAAGACCTGCTCGCTCCAGTGTCCCTGAACTACCCATGTTGCGGTGGTACAGCCTGCAAACCATGGCTATCCAGGGAAGAATCAAGCCTCCACTTAACTTAGGAGGGGCTGGCATCAGCAAGGATGAGCCGAGTCCCCTTCTGCCCAGACAGGCAGCCCGAGACAGGCAGCTAACTGTTCATTAGTCACCATGCAGGACCATCTGTTCGAGAGTTATAAACCTGTTTTCCCCAACGAGCATCACAGGAGAGGAGAGTCAGGAGGCAGGAAGTGAGAAGTGAGTCTCTTCTGTGGGCTCAGCACTGTTCCTGCGGGAGAAGACCCACCAGCCCTGCTCACACCCTCTGCTCCTCAATGCTCCTGGCTCCAGGGATAGGTCCTGTGTGGTGTCCACCCTCGGTTATATTCCTGCTTGTACCTCTGGAAGGAGCCCGGTTTCCAGCTCACAAGCACACCCGTCTGCCTTCCCCAGTGCTTAGAAGCATCGCCAGCCTTTCCGGAGCTGCCAGCTAACAAACTCAATGGCTTCTAATTACTGCACCACAGCAGAGCGATCTCTCCATCCCAGCCTGGCAGGGAACAACTCCGGCCACATTGTTCTGCTGTATTTAAGACTCACATAGGACTTTTGTCGTGGCTCCCCATCCCCCTCCTCTCCCCACGAGCAGACAACTCCAAGCACCAGCCAGAGGTCACTTCTCCTGTCCTGCGTCCCCTGATGTGACAGCACTGTCCCCACAGTGCCGCTGAGCTGTGGGTCAGGTATCTACCTGCACTGTCTCCAGCGCAGGTTTGACTGCACCGATACCTCCAAGTTGCCTGTCACTGCAGGAGCAGAGCTAGCAGCATCTGGGGTCCTGCAGGATTCCCCCTCTGGTCAATTGACTCCGGTGCCTGCCACATACAAGCACTCAGCAGGCAAAACCAGTGCCAAAACGTTCCAAAGTCACCAGAGGAATCCGGCAGCCCGATTGCCAATTACAGCAGCAGAGCCTTAAACCTCACAATTAAAATGGCTGGACACAGCCCCCTAAAAACAAGCTCTTTGGGGTAAAAAATTAAAATCAAGGAATCTCTGCAAAGCTGGAAGAAAAGTTGTTTCATAGGAAGCTTCTACAGAGGCCACAGCACATGGAGGAAACCGACACATGGCTCCAGAGAGGTGCTGCCTCCTGCCTGGAAGGAGGATAGGAGGCAAAGAGGGAGAAGAGACGTGACTGGGATAAACCACTTCTCCCGAGTGACAGATCCTCTTTGTCCACGAGGACACTCTGCAGTTTGCATCTTCCCAGTGCCAGTTCCACTGTGGACCAAGCGCTCACACGCTCGCTCAGGAGCTGACAGCGGCACCACGATGGAGGCAGGATCGCTCTGGTCCCTCAGGCTTCGCTGTCAGCAGAGGGCTAGGTACCAATGAGACCTTCCTCTCCCATCTGTCTGTCTGGACAGGGAATGTGGTGTTTGATCCTGGAGGAACAAGAAAATTTGGCTTCCTGGATGTAGGAAACTCATCCAGGATGTTCTGAACGCTCCACAGTGTTTACAGGACTTGAGTCTCGTTTTTGCTCTCTGCAGGGAGTCACAGGCCGGTGGTGGTGGGGACGAGCCAGGTTAGAGCTGTGTCCATTAGCGGGAAGGAGACATTTACTCTGGCAATTAAGAGATCCCAAGGTTCCCCAAATCCTTCCACGCCTGCAAGGTCAGGCTCTCCTGGGAGGGTTCCTCCAGCTTTACCAGAAATGCCCCTGGGGAACGGTGGCTCCTCTAGGTCTGGCCAAAATCAGAAGCTGCAGGAGGGCACAGAAACCAAGAGCTTTGTCATTCTATAAGAAATAAAGGTTAATTGGACTTCTCCCAGCCTGCTAATGGGTTTGGGCTGTCAGAATGGTTCCTGCCTTCTCCAAAGAGGCTTGTTTGTTCCCAAGGCCCTGGAGTCAGGGCTCCTGGTGGTGAAATATCCCCTCTCCAGGCAAGGGGACCCATGGCCAAACCTGTCAGCTGCCCAGCTCAGTTTTGGGAAGAGACATGAGGAAACCAGGTGAGGACTGAGGCAGAACGAGCCAACCCTGGAAGCTGTGCAGGACAGGAGCAGAGAAGTGCAGACAAGCAGTGCAGGATGGTGCAGAGGGAAGGGGAAACCAGGACCAGCGAAGCGATTTGATCAAGGTCACGGGAAAGGGGGAGTCGAGCTCCCAGATCAGTCTGCTCACATGCTTCCAGTGCCTCTGGATCACAGGCAACTCCACGTCTGCTCTCCTTGCGGCACTTATTCCCTGGCTGTCTTGGTGGTGGGCGTACAGCAGCACATGCGGGTGCTCAGGGCCATTCCCAATGTCCCAGGAGGCCTGGGGTTGGGAATTAATCTACTGAGTGGTCACCTTAGAGACCTTTTCCCCTGCAAGGGGCTGCCCAGTTCCCCTTTTCACCGCTTTTCTCCCAGGGAAAACTTTCTAGTTCTGTGGAAAGAGCTGCTGACCACGGGGTCATGCTCCACACCAGGGAGGGGAGGGAAACACATGCCCACCCAGAGATCCCACCTTATGCCACCAGCTTTGCTCTGCACCACAGCTACCACGCTCACCTCACGCCTGCCCTGCACAGCTCCCATCGCATGCTGTCCCTGCCAAACTCGGCTCCATCATTGCCCCAGGGCTTGTCGGCAGCCCCAGACAGCCCACGGAGGGTCTCCACAGCCCCTGGAGCATGAAGGTCCTGCCCAAGACAAGGGGCTCTGGTGCCGCACAGATGTTGTCTGAGGGAGTCCATGCAGGGACTTGTCATCTCTTCCCTGATGCTCCTGGAGAAACCAGCTTCAGCCACTGGTTCACAGAGATGTAGCGGGCCTGGACGTGGTCCAGGCAGCTCACAACAAATAAATACATTCAACTCAGCAACCCAGAGGTCAAGAGCTTTGTTTGAAGGTGGAAGCAGCATTCTCCAGAGGCCTGGGTCCTCCACGATACCTGCTCCGTGCACGACCTTGGGCAGACACCTTTGCCAGCCTGTGCCTCAGTTTCCCCACAGACGTAAAAAAGAGGTGATGCCTTTTGTCTTAGCAGAGCATTCTAGTATAAAGACAACAGACGACCGCGGAGGTTCTTCTACCCTCGCACTTCACAGGGATCTCTCCAACTGGATCAGCTAAACAAACTCCCCGAGCTGCTGTGTGCACTCTGAATTACCGTCTATTCGTATTTCTCTGGTTCAGGTATCACCAGCCCCAGCTTCCCACAACATCTCCCAAACCACAGAGAAGCGTGAGACCCCCGTCAAGCTTCCCACGCTCCCCACCTCATGCCAGACCTCAACCCACGTACCCTGGGCCTCAAGGCCCCCT